GGGATGGGCTAAATGCGTAAGGGGCATTAAGGAATCTACTCCTGAAATCATTGTTGCACTATATGCTAACTAACTTGGATGTAAATTTAAAAAGAAAATTAAATTAAAATAAATAAATAAATAAAATATTTCACTTATAAAAAAAAAAAGGAAATTACCAGCAGCGATCAGAAAGTATATCTTCGTAAGTAAAAACCAAAAATTGGGATGTTATGTTAGGTCTCTGTAAAATGTTCCTGAGACAGAAAATGATCCCTTTTCTTCATCCTTAAACAATGTTTCTCAATCTTTTGTTTAACTCCCGTCAACTTGAAATAACCAAACCAAGCCAAACCCACAAAATGTTTCTATTCACATAGTTGAAAATCACTGAGAAAGCATATTTTTTATCCCCACCAACCAAAGTGATTTTATCAAGTTGTCCTTAGGTTTTGTTGCTTTCATTTTCTCAATATAACACTTAATATGTTTTAAAAATAATGTGAATAATGCTTACAATGCTTACTATGTACTAGACATTATGTTAAATGCTTTACATACATGAATTCATTGTTCCCCCCTAAACCTGATGAAATAGGTATTATTACTGTTATCCCCACGTTACAGGAAAAAAGCTGAGGTAGAGTAGCTAAGTTATTTGACCCTTCCCTATTCCCTTGGAACAATTCACTATTTTATAGCATTATAACGTTAAAGAGAAGAGATGGCAACTAAATTATCAGTAAGAATTCCTCCATAGGGATTTATTGACCATAGAAATTTCATCCTTTTGCTAAAAAGAGAGGAATTATTAATAAAATAGAACAGAAAATAGCCATTGGTGCTACTTCTAAGTAAGCTTGCTTCCTCCTTGTCCCTCCCACCAATTCTAATCATCACTTATCATCAAGGTCAACAAGTGTCACTGATAATTTTCAAAGACTTTCTTTCTGTTAAGTGACATTCCGTTCTGTAACTTAAGATATTTAATAATCTTCAAATTGCTTTTGAAGGCAATTACACTAAATATGGCTAATACAGAAGGAACTAAGTAATACTGACATCGGGAACCAAATGAAATCCTACAGTGAACACCAATGTTACTTAAGGTTATTTGGGGGAGCATAATTTCATACATAGTGTACTAAATATGCTGTGTATCAGCTGCCACTATAGTTCTGCAACCCAATATTTAGGTGAACCAACTAACAGTAAAGCATGGTGTGAGGGCTGGAGAAGATCATGGAATGAATCGTTTTTATACTTTTTTGAAAACATATTTGAATTTTTGTCATTTCCCCCAAATAAGATGAGGCCACCAAGGCAGTTAAGAGACTATAGATTCAAAGAGAAAGAAGCATTTGCAAACAAATTGTGAAGGCGCACAAGTTCTCTAAGCGAGTCAGAAGGGAATGGGAGTGAGATCCTGAGTTAGGCCATCTAGATCAATAATTTCTTTTGAAGATAAATACACCATAAATAAAAAGCAGAGAAACCCCAAAGCCTCAAAAGATAGAAGTGTTAAGAGGTTAGATGAGCTGGAATGACAAGTTGTGAATTGCCTTCCCCGAAATGACAAAAACAAAAACAACAAAAAAAATCTCCAACATTCTGCCAGATTTTTCCTCCGCCACCACCCAACGTCCACTACCGGGAAAGGACGTGCACGTCTCTTTGCTCAAAGAGCTGCCACCCCAGAAGTGGCTCTGGCCTCTTTGTTACCACTTTTAAGAAATAAATTCCTTGCCTGGAGAAACTAGATGTGGAGGTAGTTCAGCCTCCCACCTCTGTTTTCCCTCGCGGGAATCTGGTTCTCGCTCCTCCTCGTCTCACCCGTGCGGGCGGCCGAGCACTTCCAGGACCGCTACATTCAACTCACTGGGTGGGACAGTCACCTGCGGGGCGGGGTGCTGTCACCGCTTTCTCATTCCTCCTTCCTTCTCTTTCCCAGCAGCCAGGCCTAACTTCCTGTGACAGGAAAACCCTCCGTAGCCACCAGAAGCCTCCTGGAGCGTTCGGCCGCTCTTCCCAAAATGCGCCTCAAGCGCTCGAGTCTCTGGACTCGGAGAAACTCTTGCCGCCTAGTTCTTTATTGGCCTTCCCTCTACTCGCATCTCAGCACCATATCACACTCTCCCGAAAGTAAGGGTTTCCAGGTCTTCAAAAGCCTTTGATTTCCATATCGCCGCTACCGGGGCGAGGAAATCACTTCCGGGTTTATGCGCCTTGCAGCGTCGCGGTTGGCGACGGAAAAGCTTCCGGGTCGACGGATTAGCTGCTGCCGTTCCTGCTGCTTCCCGCTGGGGTTGCGGGCTGTCTGGTGCTGGTGGTGCCGGCGGCTCGAGGACGGGGGTGGCAGCGGCCGGCACGCTAGCGGCTGAGCCGGAGGCGGGGGTGGGGAGGAGGGCGGCCCAGGCTGCGTGCGCGCGTGCAAGGCTGGAGCATGAGCCGGACTTGACCGCGAGGCGGAGGCAAAAGCCACCGCCCCCTCTTCCCCTCTCTTGAGAGAGGCGGCGAGGCGGCCAGAGAGGGATGGGGGGCGCCCGCCCAGTCTGAGCCTCGTCGCGGGTGCCTCCGTCTCACGCAGCGTTCCTCGCGGGCCTCTAGTGCGCACCCTCGGCCCCAGCAGCCTCTGCCCGGCGCACTCCGGCCGGCGAGGAGGGGGCACCCGCCTGGGTGGGTGGGGCGGGAGGGTACCTGAGGTCACCTGCTCGGCGCGAGAGGCTGAGGCGGCCACGGCGTTGGCAGAACTGCAGAGCTTCGGGGTCCACCTGACCCTTATCCTCAGCCCGGGAAGTAACCGTAAGTCTCAGCTTCACCATACGAATGTGTTTGAGATTATCTCAACCCTTTTTGGGCTCTGAGTTCGGCGCTGCCTAGTCCACGCCCTCCCGGGTCTCTTACAAATGTGTCTCCTTCCTCTTGTGGAGGATTGTACCTCTGCCTGTCCCCATCCTTGAATAGGCAACAGCCTCTGTTGGTCCCATGGGGCTTTTCTCCCAGTGAATTTGCAAGTCTCCGTGGCACGTCCCATCCTCGTCCAGATGCAATTCCTTGTCCCTCTGTCCTCAAAGATCTGTATTCTCCCCCTTTTTCTATCTGTATCCCAGACCTCGCAGCCTCCCCCGCCCATCCTTTAAGACGTGGAAAGCCACGGGTTGGGCAAATCTCGTGAGCTAGAGGGTCTTGAGTGGATGGGTGAAAGTGCTCTGTGGGGTTGTGATGGGTGGGGATAGGTGCAGATAGCTCTATTGGACCTTTATTTTTGCAGCGTCTGCCACCAAAACAAAAGGATGGGTCTCTCCTGGACCTTCATTCCTCACCGTAACTGTGTATAGGCTCTTTTCTGTGCATTACTGTTTGAGTCGCAGGAGATTGGAACTACAGCTGTAATTAAGCATCTCCTAAGGAGGTTTTAAGAATTAGTCTCAAAAGCTCTATTCACACGGAATTTGCATATTAAACAATCTTGTATTGGAATGAAGACCCTTTCCAGAAGAGCTTTGCTAGTAGATCTAAGAAATGAATGTAAAAACAAAAGTCTGATGTTTCAAATATGTTTTTTCATGTCTTTAAATAATTTTCAGTGTTTTGGATTTACATTTAGTTCTTAATTTATGAAGTATGTGTTTGTGTTTGTTGAAATAAATTTTCTATTGGAAAGTTTTGCATTGTCAGTGATTAAAAAAAGTGATTTTTAAAGATCATGTCAGATTGTATTGGTAAGATATTATTTTAAGTCCTTAATTCCAGAGAGACCCATTTTTACTGATTTGGATCAGCCACCTACAGATATTACACATTTTGGCCCCTATGACCTTACTGCTTCTTAGTTAAAAAATAAACGAAATGTTTATTTCCAGATTTCCAGCTAAGCATTTTTTCTCTTCAAAATTTAGTTTGCTTTCTAAACTGCCACTGCAGAACTTTCCAGAAATTAGATTAAAAAATAATTGTAATATTGTCAGTGGCCTTCATGCTTTTGACACTTTACAGGGCACTGCAGGAAGCAAATAATAATTTAAGAATAATTTTTCTCTGCATGTTGCAGGTTCCTTGTTACTATTCTGTAAACTGTTCTGTAATGTAAACTGGTAGCTTTGTCATTTTTTTTTTCCTGAAGACATAGTCATTTTGTTAGGAAAGGTAGATGTGTTTAATGATGATTTTTATTGTTGTTTTCAAAACCTTCTTCCAGCAATTGATTCTGGATTATTATTTGATTTGTAACTTCACATTGTTCACAGATTTTAGTTTGAAGTAGGCTCAGGAGATGTAGCTCTAGCTGTCTGTCTAGAAGTTTACTTTACTGGCTTGTTTCAGAATCAAGCACTGAGTGTATTATTAAAGACGTGATTTGCTTTGCATAAAATTGATCAGTTTCCAAATAAAAGTGAGGTGATGGGCCATAACTTAGAAAAGCCTTTTTTTAAAAAAAAAAGTCTATTGATCCCTATTATCTTTGGAAATAGAGTGGGGAAGATAGGACTGTATTTTCGTATTATACTTTTCTCCTTGCCAGCTGCACTGAGAATTTAGAGTTTTCAGTATGAAAATGTTGCAAAACCATGCAGATTGTGCCATAAGGATGAGCTCTAACAGGTGGCTGCTGAGACAAGGGAGAAAATTTCGTTAGCTACTCTTTTGTATTCCGGTAGCACTGCTCATTTTTGAGAGTTGATTTTCAAGATGAACTTGTGAAAGTGAAATATGTATATTTACAATGTACTTGTAAGTAAAAGTTCCGAGGTAATTTTTCTGTATAAATAGATGGAAAAACTTGAATTAAGCTTATCTGATTCTCCTTGAATGGAATTTAGAAAATATTCCTCAGTGCCTTGGGTGCTTTTTCACTCTTTGAGGATGGATACAACAGTTATTTAGATGAAATTTAAAAATACTTTTCTTTTTTTTATTTATTAAAAAAATTTTTTTTAATGTTTACTATTTTTGTGAGGGAGACAGAGACAGAGAGCAAGCAGGGAAGGGGCAGAGAGAGAGGGAGACACAGAATTGGAAGCAGGCTCCAGGCTCTGAGCTCGCGGCATAGAGCCCAATGCGGGGCTTGAACTCACAGACGGTGAGTTCATGACCTGAGCTGTAGTCGGCTGCCCAACCGACTGAGCAAACTAGGCACCCCTAAAAATACTTTTCTATAATATTAGACTTCATATGTGACACATTTGCCAAAACAGAATTGAGAGTGATTCTGTTATTATTTAAAAGGCCAGTCAGAGGAGTGTCTATGCATGGTTCTAAAAATGTTTCTCTATTTTCTTTACTTTCTCAAAGTGACTTGCTTAGGGAATAGTAATTCTTGGACTGTAAGCTTATTTTTCAGACCATCTCAGGCTACCTCTTTTTTTCTTTTACAGATAACTTCCTTTCATATTCACTTCATGTCAGTAAACCTTTATTGAATGCCTACTATGTGTGCCAGGCACTATGTTAGATTCTGGGACTACAAGTTTAAGTAAGAATTCCTTTTCTTATCGAATTTGTCAGTCTAGATTCTATCCATCTGCCTTTATAGACATCTCTAATAGGTTTTGAAGTCACTTCACCATATTTCAGGGTTGTTTCACATCATTTCTATGAGAATAAACACATTTAATGCCATTTACTGAGTGCTTGACTCACACTAGCCACCATGCTAAATGCTTTATATACATAATTTCATTCAATTCGTATAATAGTCATAAGAAGTGTTTTATCTCCATTTAAAAACCATACAGATTCTGATTTATAGTAATACTGAATGTTGTTTTACTTGTAATATGCTAGATACCTCCATCAGGAAAAGAAGTTGTAATATAGATATAGCAATTTTTAATTCTCTAATGCTTTGAATAGAAAAATTCTCATTTCATAAGGTATTAATATCTTTTATTTTCTAAAGCAGATGAGTTATGTACTATAAATATAATTTTCAGTAGTTATTGAAACCTTCGAAAAGATAATTTGGAAGTTCATTATGGTTAATTGTATTATAGATCTTCAGGTACATAACTTGTTTTTTCTTCTAGTTTAGCAATGGGATCAACAGCTTATAAAATGTACCAAAAAAATTCTCCAGGAAAGATAGGATGTTGAGCTATATGAAATCTATTCAGCTTTTTAAGTTTTGAGTTTAACTTTGACAACTGTCTGATGTCTTGAAGGTTTGAATACATTTCAGTGAAAATGTCCTTCAGGTTTAAAAATCTTTAAATATATATGGTTTATCCTAATGATTTAATATAGTTCTATCAAATCATTTTCCAAAGTCTCACTTTTTTTTAATGTTTATTTATTTATTTTGAGAAATGAGAAATGGGGCAGAGAGAGAGGGAGAAAGAGAATACCAAGCAAGTTCTGTATGGTCAGTGCAGAGCCCAACACGGGACACGGGGCTCAGTCTCTTGAATTGTGAGACCGTGTGACCTGAGCTGAAATCAAGAATCTGATGCTTAACCTACTGAGCCACCAAGACTTTCCTAACATTAAAAAAAAAGGGTTTTTTTTTTTAATGTTTTTATTTTTGTGAGAGAAAGAGCGTGCACACAAGCAGGGAGGGGCAGAGAGAGAGAGAGAGAGAGATGTAGAGGATCTGAAGCAGTTTCTGTGCTGGCAGCACAGAGCCTGATGCAGGGCTCAAACTCATCAACCATGAGATCATGACCTGAGCTGAAGTCAGATGCTTAATCAGCTGAGCCACCCACACATCCCACCCTCACATTTTTTTTTTTAAAGATGATCTTCCACTGTCCATTGTTTTCTCCAAAAACCTCACTTCTATTCTAAACATTTTATTCTGTTTTTGTTGGTATGTTTGGTTTGGTTTTTTACCATAAACTCCCAACAGTTTGCCATTCTTTAAGTTAAGGCCTTTGCTACTGGTTACACATTCTTCTGTTTTTAGGACTATAGAGCAGATAATCCTCCTTCAAGTTCCTAAGAAAGATAATCCTTGCTGTTTTCCTGTTCTCAGACGTATTTTCACTTGACAGACAGTTTTTCCCTTTCTGTGTAGCAGAATTCTTGTTACTCAGGTCACTGTTTTCTGATTAGACCAATGTTGAGAATTCCTGTTCCAGTATATAATAGTGACTAAATTATAAATGCATTAGGTGTTAGGACCATAAAGATGAGTAAGTCAAGATTCCTTTCCTCATTGAACTGTAAAATGCCTGTTGAAAATCCACGAAGAGAGGAAACTTCATTTAAAAACTCAATGATGCTCTTTTCCAAATAAGCCTAAAAACATTGTCCTCCTTCTTAACCTATCCCCTCAGAGTATTATAAAGGAAAGTATGTAAATAAACATATTAGGCCAGGGTTTTTATTCTGTTTTCTGGCCTCTGGCAGAAAAAAGTGATTTACAGAAAAGGTAACTTTCTCTGACTTGCAGGAAGATGCCAGAAGATAGCAAAGAACTTCTGTATTCCCTTCCCTCAGATTTCACCACTGTTAATATTTTACTGCATTTCTTTTATTGCCAGTCCTCTGTTTCCATACATAATGCTACATACGTGTGTATATATGTGTGTAAAAAAAAAAAAAAATATATATATATATATATATATATATATATATATATATATTTATCCTGTATTAGTCTTTTTCTAAACATTTTGGAGCAAGCAGCAGATATGGTGTCCCAGTACCTGTAAACACTATAGTGTCTATTTTTCAAAAACAAGTTACTCTGTTATATAACCAACATATAACCCTCTAAACCAGAAAATAAGCATTGGTACAACACTACCATCTAGTGCAAAGAACCAATTTATATTTCATTGGCAATCCGAGCAATAGCTCAT